GTACGTTCTTCCACTGGTATTGTCATAGTTCTTGATACGGTACCGTGTATGACACTGAATGCATCCAGAGCGAATGAGAGTGCTGCCGGTAAGATATCAAAGTGTAGCGGATGATCTAGGGCGTACGATGGTGGGAGAGTTTCCACTGGAAGGCCGGCGTAGACGGCTGTTAGGATAGTCCGGCGTCGATCTGGCTCTAGCTGGGGCAGGTGGAGTTCCTCCGTTAGGTACATTGGGTAGTTCATTCTCATGAACGTTCCCCATGTTCCGTCTAGGTCGATATCGACGTCGTCCTCTAATGTTACCTTCGGCTTGTCCGTTTGGAATGGAAACGGGTACGGAATTCTGATTAGTCCGCTGGGGCGTGGGGTTAGATATGGCTGTCGTCGAGTTGACCTGAAGCCGTCCAGGAGGTGGACTTCGTGGACGTCGTCCGCTCTCTGGATGAGATGGTCCATCATGACTTGGATGGGTCGTGTTGAACTCGACGTTGGTATGGTCGAAGTCGGCAAGATCCTCGATGGCGAATCCAGCCCCTCTGATAGCGAGATAGACTCCGAGTTGTTGGAAGACCTGGTAACGATGATCGTGGGAGGAGTGGGATTCGACGTCTTTGAGAACTTCGATAAGATGCGTGAAAGTGGTGATAGCAGATTCGAGAAACTCGGGATGTTGCACAGGCATGAGGGCATGGACTGAGGGTTCAGGCCAAGTCGTGCTCCCTTTTATACTCATTCAACAGCTCTCCTGCATTGCCCATTTCCGTCTCTTTTACCCACGACCTTTCGCTGAGCGGATATCCAGCCCATTTTACCAGATATTCGTTCTTGCTGCGCCGTAGTCAATGTCCAATTATAGACTCGATTTCAAATTCTTCCTCTCCTTCGATAAGATCCGGAGGTGGTGTTGAATAACTTTCCCCATGTGTATTGGTCTGCCGGTATGGCGTGAGCAATGCTGCATGGAACACTGGATGGATCTTCCATGTCGCAGGAAGGTCTAACTTGAACGAGAGTGGTCCCAGAACCTCCTTGATCCTGAAGGGTCCTTCTCACTTCGGCGCTAGCTTATTCGATTTGTAAGGTCTTTTCAAATTGGTGGCTTCCAGCCAGACCTTGTCTCCTTTCTTGAAAGTCGGAGATCCTCCTTTGATCCTGGCAGATACACGGGCTTTTGCCTTGATGATTCCTTCTGTGGCCTCCTTGCGGACCATACTGAGAAGCTTGAGTCTCGCATCCATGTCAGGGATCTCGTTCTGAGGAAACAGTTCTGGCATTCCTCGAGGCTCGTAGCCATACCATATTTCAAATGGTGACTTCTTTGTCACTGAATGAGTATGGAGATTGTGCGCGAACTCTGCTTCGGATAGGAATTGATTCCAGCAATGCGGTTGCTCCGCACAATACATTCGAAGATATGTTTCCAATTCTTGATTCATTCACTCCGTTTCGCCATCCGTCTGCGGATGATAAGCTGTGCTCATGGCCGACTTGATCTTGAGTGCAGTGCACAGTGCTTGAAATACTTTGGATGCGAATTGCGTTCCACGGTCAGAGATGATCTTGTCGGGTAGCCCAAAGCGTTTCCAAACTTGTCGTCTGAATAGCTCGGCGGTTTCCGAAGCAGTGATCGTCTTCTTGCAGGGACATAGAATTACCCCCTTACTAAGCCCATGGTCTACCACGACCATAATTGAATCGAAGTCTTCGCTTTTCGGTAAATCTGTAATAAAATCCACGCTAACTTGCTTGAAAGGTAGCGCATTGGGCGAAGGACCTATGGGCTGTAGTGGAACTTTGACCTTGTTTCGAACAGCTTTGGATTGCTGACAAGTGGCACATCCATTGACGTAGCTTTGGATGAAGCGATACATTCCCGGCCACCAGAAGTCTTTGCGCACTAGTTGGTGCGTAACCCAGATTCCTGGATGACCATGGGGAGTGGCCTCATGGTATCGCCGAACAATTTCCTTCTTTAAGGATGTATTGTTTGGGACATATACGCGTCCATGGATGGTGATTAAACCATTGTCAGCATCCTTGATGTCATCTTTGGTCATTCCTCGTGGAACTGGAAGTTCTTCCATTAGGCCGTCCTTGTACGCAAGTACCGATGGGTCTTTTGTTAGTGCTTGTCGGATTTGTTCCGCCATATCTGTATCGATAGCACCAATAAAGAGATCGTCGGGTAGCAGGATTGCAGGTGACTTGTTATCCTGTCGATTATCTAATTCGGACAATCATGAAAGCGCGTCCGCTTGCACCATTTGTCGTCCTGGCGTATGGACAATCTTGTAATTGAACATAGACAAGAAGAGTTGCCATCTTCGCTGTCGTGGGTTCAAGTCCTGCGGTTGCCTGAAGTACGTCAGATTCTTGTGATCTGTGCGTATGAGGAATGGCTCCTTTGTTCCGTCGAGATAATGTCTCCATTCCTTGAGTGCGCAGATGATTCCTAGAAGCTCCTTATCGTAGATTTGATAATTTCATTCTGGATCAGAGAGCGACTTGGAATAATATGCGCAGGCATGGAGGTCACCGTTATCATCCTTTTGCATGAGGACTGCTCCTGTAGCGAAGTCCGATGCATCGGTTTCGATGACAAAAGGTTTGGCTTTGTCTGGCATAACCAGTATTGGTGCCTTGCCGAACTCGTTTTTGAGATAGTCGAAAGCGGCTTGTTCTTTGCTTGTCCAATGGAACACATTCCCGCCCTTGGTCTTGGTAAGATCAATTAAGGGTCTTGCAATTTCGGAATAGTTCCGGATGAACTTTCGATAAAAGTTGGCGAATCCTAGAAATGCTCGCACTCCTTTTACGCCAGTTGGAGCTTCCCATTTGATGATCCCGTTGACTTTTTCTGGATCCATTTGAAGTCGTCCTGGGAGGAGGACTAGTCCTAGGAAGTCCGTGCGCGTAGTCTTAAACACGCATTTCTCCAGCTTGAGATAGAGGTCATTGTCGACCATTTTCTTAATGACTCATTCAAGCTTCTTTTCCAACCCTTTTTCGCTTTCGGCAAGGATGAGGATGTCGTCCAGGTAGCATAGTAGCCATCCTTCGGCGATTTCTTCTGCGAATATTTCATTCATCATTCGCTGGAAGGTTGCCGGAGCATTGCACATTCCGAAGAACATAACTGTGGGTTCGAACAATCCTCGTTTGGTGATGAAGGCAGCCTTCCATTCATCTCC